CCACACCTCAACGAAATAAACGCACACACACCCCCTTTTTCGAGGCTTTCATAAAGAAACGGAAAAGGCTGTTTAGCTATATACCTAATAATTATGTTTAGATAAAACAAAACATAAAAAATCAAGAATCTAAGTAGATATTTTACATTTTAATTTATGAATATTCTGTAAATTAGATTATGTTTGCCTTTTTCTTGGCAAAAATTATAATATTTGTTTTACAATTGATTTCATTATTATTAAAATATAATTAAGCATTTTTAATAATTTTGTTTAGATATTTTACATTAAAAATATCTTTTGATATATGAATACTCAATAAATTTAATTAAGTTTATATTTTTTCTGAATAATAATAATAAGAATTATTATATTTTGGCTTTCATATTCACCAAAATAAAATTTTGTATTTAAGCTAAATTTTAAAAAAGTTTATAGATTTCTATCTAAAGAACGATTTTAAAGAAACTTTATATACAAATGCTTGGTTGGTACACATACAAGTAATGCAAATTAAATTAAAATACTTATATGATTACAGTACTTCTTGCAAGAGTATTACTATTACAGCTTTAAGAAAACCAACTTTTGACCAAAATTATGACAGCATGGGAAATAAATATGAAGGCCTCTTTAATTGGATATCATATCTATAGCATATCTCTCTTACATTTCCTCTCTCGCGTCTTTCTCACTCCTTACGTTACGTTACTGCTACTGCTACTGTTACTGTTAGTCGCCGCTGTGGTGAGTTTCTTTCGCTTTGGCACCTGCAGCAGCTGCAACATGTTGCTGCTGTCGGAGGTGAAAAATCACAGACACGTTACGCTATGCGCCACCTTACGTTACGTAACGCAGTGGAAAATGCTTGTTAAATAATTTAGGAATTTTCTTATTATGCACTAACTGCATTTGGGTTCATTTCGGCCTAAGTTTAAAAAAACAAGCTTAAGTATTTAATATAATTTAAAAATAAAATTTTGGCCAATTTTCAATTTTTTTATAATTCTTTGCGAAAAATGGTTAACAAATAAAATGTTCAGGTTTAAATGCCAATCGATTGGAAAATTTAATAACGAGTTCAGAAAGGTATGACAATCCATATTTAGATCAATATTTCCGTTGTGTCGGCCAAAAACCTGAGTAATAGAAAAGATTAAAGTAGTAACAAATAGACAAACAAAGAAAGGTTTAAAGGTTTTATAATACGAATATTTTATGTTTCTAGTAGTTTAAATAAATTTGCCATTGTATCGAAATTCGCCAGACAAATTTGCCCAAAAATTGGAAAAACAATAAATTTTGTTAAAGTTGCAATAAATTCATATTGTTTTCGTTTCGGGGGGTTTTGTTTTTGGGTTTTTTTTGGTTTCCATGCGAGCGTGTGTGCGTGAGTGTTGAAAGTTGAGCGTTGCGTGCAACCGCAGCGATTGTTGTTGCTGTTGCTGCTGCTGCCGCCGACGTGCCACGCCCCTTTCGCTGACCCAAATTCGCTTTTCGTGCCAGCCAACTAACCAAATCTTATCAATTCATCAATCATGCATGCAGTCATTAAACGCTCGCCTCGTTTAATAGCCATTGTTGTTGCTCTTGGTTTTTTTGTTGCTGCCTGAATTCGTTTGCTCTTGTTACCGTTGTTGTTGTTGTTGTTGTTGCCGGGTTACCGCATCGCCACTAAATTCGCCGCAACTAGCTCTCTCTCTCCCTCACTCTCTTTGTCTTCCTTTCCTTCGCCGCAACATGCAGTTTAAACAATATGATTTTGAACCGACCATATTCTTGGTATTTACAAAATATCATTCAAAATAAAAAAAATACAATAACATTTTAAGTCTTACTATTACTTTATTATTATAACAGTATTATCTTTATTTATTATATAGGTAATTCTCTGCCAAAACGCTTGAAAATTGATAAAAACGTATTTGTATATGATTTTGCACTAATATTTGATTCTAGTCAGATGGATCCTCAACTAAGCAAATCAATTTTAGTATCCGTGGATAATTTTTTCAGGACTATACCCATAGTATGGACAAATAAGTCATTTCGTAGTATTTTTTCAACATTTTTTAACCAACTCTCTCACGTTTGAAACTCTTTTTCTCTCTGTGTTTGGTTCATAACGTTAAGTAATTTTAAACAAGTGATCCCCTTTCTTCATCTGCCTTTGTGTGGCCCCCACCTGTCGACAAGGTATTTTCCCCGCCCTTTATGTGAATGTACATATTTACATATGTATGTCTATATGTACCTCCCACCGCCCATTGCTCGATTTATGTTTCGGATCAGCGTTTTATTCGTTTCTGTTGTGGCTTTACCGCTTTGCGTTGCCAGTTGCTAGCCAAAACAAATGCAGCGCCGTCTATATATAGGCCCGACATTGATTATACCTGAATATGTACAGTGTACACACGTGTAATTATATACATATCGTATGGTATATTGGAAGACTTGCTTCAGGGCCGAAAAAGTTAAAAAGCGGTTGGGCCAACTGTACTTTGTGGTGAAGGGAAGACTCAAATCCAAGCTGAAATTGAAGATTTAATTAGCATTTATTGATTAAAATTGTATAAAACTGAATAAAAGATCTAAACGAAATAAAAATACCATACTTTGTTTGTAAATTGAGTAATTCAAAAATGCACAAAATTGTATATGAAATCATTAACAATACAAAATGTTATAATTCTTACAATTCTTGCCGCAGTTAATTCTCATGCCAGAGCCTCTCGATTTCGGTTTCCCATATCTGTATTATTATATCCAAGTAAACGAAATGAAGCAAATAAGAGGCAGCTGTATGTTCGTTTGTTTATTTGTCCGTCTGTCTGTTGGCATTTTGTTATAGCTGCCTGCTACTTCTGTTATTGTCTCTCTTAACACCTGCAAAATGCAATGACCAAAATTTACAATAAAAAAATAAAAATAAATAAACAAAAAAGAAAACAATTGAAATTCAGCAACTGAAAAGTGTCAACAGCGTTTAACTTTTGACTTTGTTTCACTCCACCGTCAGACGACGACGACAACAACGACAAAAATCAGCAATTACAGAGTAAAAGTAAAACAAAAATGAAATGGAATAAAATAAAATAAAGTGAACAGAAAACAGAACAAAAAACGGAATGGAAATCAACTGGCACCAATGCTTTTGATTCAAAGGCAGCGGAGAGGGAAGAAAACCTGTAAAGTGCTTGAACTTTTAATTTCTTACCTGTGCGCCTTTAAATTCTCATTTAGTAGAAGGGTATGTTGTATAAAAAGAAGGGAAGACAAGATATACGTATTTTCAGAGAATAGTAGAGTGTTGCATGCTCCAAGTTATCGATATTTCCGATATTATCACAATATCGATTCGATAATATCGATGTTTTCAAGGGAAGTCGAGTTGGAAGTAATTTCTTATGATTATAAGCGGTCAGTTAATCAAATAAATTAAAACAATTACCAATGAAAGTGTTTGAAAGTTCGAAATATGCCATTAGTGTGTTAAGGAACTTTTTCCAAAAATATATTATTTATTATGAACCTCATTTATTCTAAATATAATCGATTTGTTTGTGTTTAGTTAATATTGTTCTCGAAAAAGTGGACTCAAATGTCGCTTAAAATGTAATTACGCATGCAAAAGTGCTGACAGCAGCAAATCAACGCCTCGAAAATATCCCACACTCCTTCTTTTTGCCATTGTATTTTTGCTGTTTTTTTTTCTTTTTTTGGATTTGGTAAAAACGCTTTCGTTGGAGGAAAGAAGGAAAGAGAGAGCTTGTCACAAAGCAAACAAACCAAATGCCAAATTAATTATATTATCCATTAAAATGCCGAAATAATCCCACACCCAGAGAAATGTGGGACTATTTTTTAGGTAACGTATGACCTAAAAAATTTAAATAGACTAAAATTTCAGATTTAGGTAATGGGTTACCTAAAAATATTAGCATGTGGACTATGTTCCTACTTTTTAGGTAAAGCTAAAGAGATTTTTATAGGCCATCGTAACCTTCAAATTGGTCCATAAGACCTAAAATTTAGGAATAATTTAAAGTCGATTATCACTCACAACTTAATACAAATATTGGTCCCTAATATTAATAAACAAATTATTCGGTTTTTTAAGTTTAATGTTAAAAAATTTTTTAGACTTTTCTTAAAGCTAGTGATGGAAAAGTTTCAATATATAAAATCAATACCTACGTGGACTATTTTCCTACTTTTAAGGTAATAGTGCCCTATTCTAAAAATAGAATTCGCCTGAGCCCCTTGAAGCAGGCTTTGGTTTTGCCGCAGGGCCTTTAAGTAGTTCCGTAGACCAGAGGCTAGCCTATTGGACTCTCGCGCAGAAGACCCGGGATCGATTCCCACCGAGGACAAAATAAAGTGATTGTTTTTTCAGAAAGATAAAATATTTGCTTTTCCGAATAATACAATATAAGCAATTAAAATAATCAAATATGTTACTATCAATAGTAAAAATCCTAGCTTTTTTTTAAATACCTAATATTTAGGTAATTCTGACCTAAAAATCTAGTCCACTAGCCATTTTTTTAGGTAACCATTACCAGAAATAAATTCAAGACTGCGTACAAAATATAGTCCACATGGACAACATTTTAGGTAATGCATGGCCTTGGCGCGTTTTTCTGGCCATATTTCCTAAAATTTTAGGTAATTAGGCCCCTTTTTAGTCCATTTTGTTTTCTGGGTGCAATTGTTTGTGCATGTTTGTGTGACTGTACTGTTAAGTGGAGAATCGAGAGAAGTTCAAAAACAACAACAATCATTATCAGAAAAAAACTTGGCGCACGCCTTTTGTTGGTTTGCGTTGAATCGACACAAAATTCGTCGTTCGGCTCTGTTTTTTATTTTTAGTTATGTTCTCTTTTTTCTTTTAAAAATTGTTTACTCATACCGCCCGCTTAAATCATTTTTTCCTACCCCTATACCATTTATTGATATGATCTTCTAACCGATATGATTATTTTATCTCTATCTTGCAGGGAACTTCAGGATGGCACGCTCAGAGATCACAACTTAATGGACGGGTCCAAGATCATTTTGATCCCAAATGTGGAAACTGGTTTATTGGTAAGTCAACTAATTAACGAGATAACATTTTTGTATGAACAGTTTTTTAATTAGGATAAAGAAAATTGAAGAGCTATTCAAAACTAATATTCCATAATATTTAAAGTTTTAAACTCTGAATTTGTTCTACTTTGTTTTTGTAATATTAAACCTTAATTTAAAAGCTTAAACAGGATTCAGAGTAATGTCAATCGAGATATTAACCGAATGCCAAGTCACATATTTAAAAGTCAAGCTGTAACCCTGACCCCGTTTTAAGTCCTAATTTAAAACCGCTTTCCAAAAAAACTCTCTAATATGCCAAAAATCTTTTTTCTCTTTATTCGATGTGAATAATGAATATGGGACGATTAGATATTATTTACCTGAGGAATTTTAATCATTTCGACTGTGACTAATTCGACTAATTCTCCGTTTCTCATTCGAATTCTGCTGATTATTGTTCATCGGTTTCTTGTTGCGGCGGCTGGTCGTCATTTGTCGTTGCCAAAGTTGTTTGACATTAATGAATTTTAATTTATTTACATATTTATTTTATTACACACATTTTTCGATCGGCCCCCCGGCCAACAACTGGTTTAGCCTACTTCGAATGCCTTTCACGGGGGTGTTGGCTTAATCCTATATGAATTCAAGTCGTAAAAAACATACTTTAAAGAGCATTGAAAGGATACATACTATATTATACTGAACGAAAAAAAAGAGGAAGAAAGAAATATTCAAGCTCGATTTCGGTTCAGTTTGCCTTCAATTTATGCCGCTGTATTTTCAACGAATACCGAAACCTTTTTGGTCGAATGGAGATGGAGTTTTGGAGTTGACTGACAATCATTATGTTTCTTTCTCCAAATTTGCAGAGCTTTTGAGCTCTCTTTTTAGCCCTCCTTCTCATTTTGGTCATTGGGTTTGAGTTGTGAAGGTTTTTTTCGTCCAACGTACAGTGCGTGTTTTTAATGAGAAAGTTTTGACCAATTTTAATTTAAACGCCAGCGCAGCGTAAAGGTCAAGTTTGCATTTGTATGCGCAGCTGAGTTTTCGTGAGGTGGTGGCAAAAAATTAAGCTAAGGGAATGGGAATCGGAACGGCTCCCTATTTACACGGCTGAACAGGGAAATAGTTGTAAAAACAGTTGATTTTGGATTATAAATATGTTTTAAAATATATTTTAATATAAATCGTAATATTGAACATGAAGAACTCGCGAGAAGATTTTGGGTTTGAAACCCCAATGCAATAGAATTTATAAAGCCTGATTGCTAATCCTACCTAGTATTATATATTTATTCTGGTTTCTTCACTATTCATGATCTCTCTTTGCTCTTTTTTTGCGCTTTTCCGTTTGATTTACTGTTTATCGTTTGAGTTATGAGCCGGTCTTTTTTTTTTCTTTAACCTGGTTCAAGTAATACCACTCTCAACTTGGCTCACAGTATTACCAATCTCTTTGTTTGCAAATCCCGCGCGTGACATTGCAACATGCTGCCGCAGCAACAAGTTGCTTGTCCAACCGCCATTTGCAACATTTTGTCAATGGGTTTATTTAGGAAAATAGCTTGATAAACTTAAAAGTTTATAATATAAGGTCTTTGTTTCAGTTAAATTATTATAAAAGTGTCTTGTTTCTTCTTACCAAATATTTTGTTATAAAATGATATGATATATGAATAAGTTTAATATTATTATTTTTAGTACCGAAATCTCTTGATTAAAAACTTCGGCATGTGGAATCCCATATGTTATCTCAGATATTTCTCATATCACTGGTTTTATTGTTGATTTTATTTTTTGCTTGGATATTTTTTTTGGGTAAGTTTGAGCTGCTGTAATGGCTTTTCAGCTTTTCTTGGAGTGACACCGATTCGCCAGGTGAGGCAATCAGCAATAAGCAATCAGCAATCAACGGTCTCACCTGAATCTCTGGCAACAGTGCCACATAACGTTTATCAATATTGGCCTAACCGCTCTCTTTCCTCTCTTGTCTGCACCGTCTGTCTATTATTTTTTCTATCTTATTTAATAACATTTATGCATTTTGTGCCGTGTTGCCGTTTCTCCTCCTATTTTCCATTGTCTCAATTGCTTTTCACATGAAATTGGTTCAAGTTGCGCATGTGAAAGGTAAGAAACTGATGACAAAGAGTAGTTGTAAACTTGTTAAAGTCTCTGCTTAAATTTTGTCACTTGGGTGTGAGAAACAAAGATACAAATTGAATTTACATGAGGCTGACATCTTGCATGATACTGTAAAAATGTAGGTTAAGAAAGCCAGCTACTTAAGCACCATCATTTAAATTATTTAATATGTAAAAGTTTGTTTTCTCGACTAGGTTTAAAAATAGAGATCGAAATTTATCGATATTTTGACAATATCAATTCGTTAATATCGATGTTTTCAAGGGACAACTGAAATTAAATATCGAGAAATCGCAAACTGTCGATATTTTTTTAAGCTAAACCTACTTCTAGTAGTTTAATAAAAAACTGCCAAATATATTTGCTATATCAAAATAATAAATAAAAGTCATACAACATCGAACAGTTTTTATCGCTCAGGCAATTTTTTAAAATCAGATTTTTATGTGCTCCGTACATGTGTATGTACGTAACTTTGTTACTTTGACGGACATTTGTTTGCCATATTTATTGCAATTCGTATTGCATTCAAAACACACACGTAAATAAAAGTTCATGCAATTTTTTGTGATGCGAACAAAGAAATATTTTGGCGTGCTCGAGAAATCCATAAAAATTCCCAAAAAAAAAAGACGAGCACAAAACACAACAGCTAAATTTACATATACCTATATGCAAACATTTGTCCATACGTACAAATATATATATACACAATAACCATTAAGAGCAATAGGCTCATAACTTTTCTCATTGTTTTAATTGATTAAAATTGTATCATCCCATTTTTATAAATCACGTATTATTTGCTTGCAAAATTCTTGTAAACATTAATTTTTTTAATAATTCCATTAAAATGATTAAATTGCCATTTGTAAGAAATAATAATACAAAATACAAATACAACTTTGCTTTAATTATACCAACATAAAAATTCAACTAAAATGAATTCTTCTAAGAAAGCCGAAATTAAAACGTGAGGTTGTCTGCTTCTTATTCTTCTGTCCTTTGTCTCCCGATGAAAAAGTCAATAAAAATGCTGATTAAAATTTATTTACAAAACAAAATGAAATTGCAACGTACGAATAAGAAAAAAAATGTTTAAATAGCCAATTAACAATTTGCGTCTCTTTAGCATTTAAACTTTTTCTGTTGTTCTGTTAATTTTATTTATTTTTGTTTTTGGAAATTGCTATGGTTGTTTGTCGAGCAAATTTACGAAATAAATATAAGACGGTAAAGGAGGAGAAATTAGAGGGGTCGGGCGCCAAATGCCAGAACTCCAGAAAGGCGTGAGGCCTTTACACTGTGCGAAAAGGAATAACGCTGTTTTAGGACTAAATTTTAGATTTAGGAAAAAGAATTTTAAAATTTTAGATTTAGGAAAAAAGCTTGAATCGATGTTTTCACAATATAGTTTCGATAATATTGATGTTTTCCAGGAAAACACATTAAATATCGAGAAAAAGCAAATTTTCGATATTATTTTAAGCTCTACTTAGGAATTTGATTATTCTCCAATTTGGCAACAATTTTTCTCTGTGAAGGAATTTTGTGTTTTTATTATGTGCCGCCCCGAGCGAAAGGAGTGCCACGTGAAGGCCTGGAGCATTGTCTTTCCTTCTATTCCCCACTGCTGTCGCTATATCTTTCTGTTCTCTGAGTCACGATGCTTCAGTATTTTATATTTCTTTTCTTTTTTGCCACCTCATGCCATTGCCTCCTAATTAGCAACACAGAGTAGCCGAAAGCAACAGGCAAAATAAACCGAAACATTGCAATTCGGTGGCGACTGCTTGTCAACCTGGACAGGTGTTGTTGTTGGACCTCCTGGCCCCTGCCCCTCCCCCTTCCCCGCCCCCTTTTCGCCCACTGTTAAATGTGTGTTAACAAGTGACAGGTTGATTTGATGGAGACATCTCTGGATTTATTGACACCACACTGACTGAATGACAGAATGGCTGAATGAGTAAGCAGAAAGGTGACCGATCCCGATCTCGATATTTTGCTTGTGGGTCACAAAAGTCACCCATGTTTTTCTCAGCCTAAACAGAAATGAAACAGAAATTATTTGGCAATTATCTTGGATCAACGGGAGGAATAAACAAATTCCATTTGCTCCTACTGCTGCATACAGCCTAAATATATACTCATTTGTCTGCCACGACATTTGCATATTGCTCCAATTTTATCTTGACACATCGCAGACAGCCAAAAATTGTCGGCAAAAAAAAAAAAGAAGAAAGAAAGGGAGAGAATTATTTCAGCTGCTATTAGCAGTAATAATATTCTGTAAAGTTTATTATAGCAACGGGTGCGAAGAAAGGCATATATACTTGGCAACGTGCGGTCATATGGTGCGTATACTTATTTAGTCTATAAGTCGCCGAATGGAGATGAGTGGGCTCCTCGGCGACACTTTCGATTTTCATAGTTGGCCCCGCCGGGGATTCTCATATGTTTGCAAATGTTTTGACAATTCGAAAATGAAATTATAAAGCGAATATAATTAGAATTATTCTGAGAAATAATAAAAATGTCATAAAATCATGAATCAGAAGCCGAAAAATTTAACCAAAGAAGCTAATTGTTTGTGTTTCATGCAAAATATAATTTTTTGATTTTAATTTTCGCATTTCACTCGATATTTTTAATGTTTTGAAGGGAAACACAAATTAAATATTGAGAAATAGCAAACTGTCGATATTTTCTTCAGCTCTATTTTCACTCCTCAAAATTTCCAATATACATTAAGATATTCCCAGTGGAACGAAGCACCTTGCTTGGCCGTTTTTTTAACAGCTCAATCATAATCCCCGCAGACTTCTGTCATTCCTTTATTCTTCGTATGCCTTCTGCCCCCTGGGGCC